GGAGGCTGAGGGGGCGTGGGAGGGAGAAGCAGGCCTGGGAGCGGGGTCAGGGAGCTGCGGGGTTCCTGGGGTCGGGGAGCTGCAGGCGTCCCCCCCACCTGGCACACAAAGCGGCTGCCGCGCTCGGCTCTCACCAGATCCTTTGTGTTTTCCATCAGGGCCTCATGGGTAGGGGTTGTCCGTGCTCCCCGAGCCCGCGGCGCCCCCTCCCCGAGATGGGGGCAGGTGCCCCTCCCCGGGACTGCGGCAACTACAGGGGGCCCCCGGCTGGGCCCAGACCGGTGGCGGCTGCGGCAGCCCCCGGATTTCCCCCCTTTAACTCGGGTGGCCCCAGGATATCAACAACATTAGCATAGCCCTCCCTCCCCAGCGCGCCTGCGCCGTGACCCGCGCCCCGATTGGCCCACTTCCCTACATACCCTCCTCTCTCTCTTCCAGCGTGGGACCCTCCGCAGGCTCCGTACTCTACGGACCGTACCAAGGCGAGGGTGGAAAAGGTAGGGGGGCTTGCTAAATCGAGTGGTTAAAGTCAGGAGGAAAAGCAGAAGTTTCACCTAGTCATCCCAGTCTACACTGCGGTTTCCTTGCGTTCTTCTCAACAGGCTGCAGCCGCGAAGTTGTGTTGGAAAAATTTTCCACTCCAGTCACGCCGCTTCCCCCTACACCCGGAAGATTGGTCCTCCCGAAGGAACTCCCACACGGGGCGGAGCCGGCTAGGGGAGTGGGAGTTACGTAGGGAGGGAGTGTTGGTCACGTGGCAGGAGGCGGCGCAGGCTCCTTCCGGTCCCCCGGGGCCTCGGTGGTGGCGGAAAGCGGGGCGCCTGGGCGCATGCGCAGTGAGGTTCCACGTGAGCGCCTGCGTTTCTTCTCAAAGCTAACGATGCCGCCGGAACGGAGGAGACGGATGAAACCGGACCGGAGGACCGGAGCGAAATCGAACCGGAAGACCCGAGCGAAGCCGGATTGGAGAGGCGGAGCGGGGCCGAGCGGGCGCGGAGCGGGGCCGAGCGGGCCGCCCCGAAAGACTGCCCCTTCATCCCAGCGGAAACCGCCGGCCCGGCCAAGCGCGGCGGCCGCTGCTATCGCAGTCGCGGCGGCGGAGGAGGAGAGACGGCTCCGGCAGCGGAACCGCCTGACTCTGGAGGAGGACAAACCGGCTGCGGAGCGCTGCCTGGAGGAGCTGGTCTTCGGCGACGTAGAGGACGACGAGGACGAGCTGCTGCGGCGACTGCGGGGTCCGCGGGTGAGGCCGTGGCGCGCGGGCTGGGCGAACTCGGGCGGGGCGCGCGGTGGGCGGTGAGGCTCCGGGGGGCGGAGCCTGGGCGACCTGCGGCGGCGGGGCGCGCTCAGGTGGGAGGGGGCCGGAGAACGCGGGCGCCGAGGGGCGCGGCTGCGCGTCCCCCGCCTCCCGGAGCTGGTCCGAGAGTCGCGGGAGGGCGGAGACCGCGCGTTTCTCCGCCCCGGAGGTGCCCCTGCGCCTTGTATCTGTTTTGCGAACTGGAGTCGCGAGCATCTCTCGCTGCTCGGCGCCTCTGCCCTTTCCCCAAACTTGGCGTGGTCGTTTGGTCTTCTGCCTCAGGTCCTTGTCGCGATTCCGGAGGTCTGTCTCGTTGATGGAATCGCCTTGTGGGCACCGGCCCAGGAATATGCGTTTTTACAGTCTCCCCCCGTGATTAGGAGAAGCACCAACTTTGGGGAATGATCGTATCTTCGTCTATTCAACAAATATTTGCGAGCCCGTTGGATGCCAGATACTCTTTCTGGCAATGGCAAGCCCTGTGTGATCGAATATATTTTTTGCACACTTTAAAATCACTTTTTTTTTTTTTTTTGAGTTGGAGTCTCACTCTGTCGCCCAGACTGGAGTGCAGTGACCGCTCTCGGCCACCGCAGCCTCGACCTGCTGGGCTCCGGCGATCCTTCCGCCTCAGCCTTCCGAGTAGTCGGAATTACAGGCATGCACTACCACGCCCGGCTGATTTTTTTTTTTTTAATTGTAGAGATGAGGTCTCGCTGCCCAGGCGGGTCTCGAACCCGCGGGCTCAGACAATTCACTCACCTCAGCCTCCCAAAGACGCGGGATTACAGACTGAGCCACCGAGCCCAGCTAAAATAACTTTTATTCTATTCCTGGCTTTTTCTTTTGAGATAAGGAGTCCCAGACATTGTTCTGGCATTGGAGAGACACAGCAATGGGCAAAACTGACAGAAATCCCTGCTCTCTTGGAGCTTGTATACTAGTGGTGTAGACTAGATAAAGAGATAAGTAAAATTCAAGTCTTTTGGTGACAGGCGTTGAAGAGGAAAAAAACAAGACATTCAGGAAAGAAGGATCAGCCTGTGTAGAGGAAGGAATCCTGTGAAATTTTAGATATAGTGGCCAAGGAAAGTCTCACTGAGAATTAGTGTTCATTAAATGAATGCTGATTTAGGGAGTGTCAGCTGATTGCCAGAACCCCCTTTGGGTGCTTATGGGAGAAGCTGCAGCAATCTTTCTATTGGGAGATAGAGAACTAATACTGGAAAAATGCCAACTGTGTGACAGTCCTATATGTAGGAGAGAGAACAGTCTACTGAGGTAGGAGCTGTGGGCTTTGAAGGATCTTAGACCAGTAGTGAAGCACATGGAAATCACTCAGGCATTTCTGTTTTGTGGTTTTAGGAAACCTCAAGTTCACCTCAAGGAGTAGTCTGTGGTTTAGATTTAGCTGATAGTACAGTATAAAGTTTATTGAGGTAGGGAGTAAAGAACGGTCTAGTCTTTGACTCTAGTCAGCCTCTGGTTCTGTAATTTCTATAGTTCCGGCATTTTTCCTGCTTTTTTTGTCTTACCTTTTGTTCTTGTCTTAGGTCTTTTTCTTGCAGCATGTTGATTTCACTCTTTGACTGTTCCATCATGCCTCGCCTGTGCAGCTGGTGGTGCCCTTGCCTGGTCTACTCATTATCTGCTTCTGCTTCCAACATTTGCAGTGGTAGCATTCTATCTCATTATTTCATCAGAGAGCCATTGAAAAAGCATTCTGCAAGCCATTTTGCTGCAGTGCTTGCATGTCTGTTACCCTGGGACAACAAAAACTCAGTGTTTGAGAACGTTTTGTCTTCTACAGGTTCAAGAACATGAGGACTCGGGTGACTCAGAAATGGAGAATGAAGCAAAAGCTAATTTTCTGCCTCAAAAGAAGCCAGTTTGGGTGGATGAAGAAGATGAAGATGAGGAAATGTAAGTTGCCTTAGATTTTTTCCCAGAATCCCTTTGGACACTTTACAGATTATTTTGCAGATTTTAAAATCATTCTTTTTGTGAATTTTTAGTTATGTAGAGATTAGAAAAATATGTGGAGGTATAGGAAAAAAAGGTCATTCATGGCTCATAATCCTGCCACTGAGAGAATCACTATTAGCATGTTGGGATACTTCTGACTGTGTCTTTTCTCTTCTGTGATGTGTAAAGTAGCCAAGAGAGCACAGTGTTTGGAGACAGACCTGAGTCGGCCTCCTGATGTGGCCAGTTCCTAATTTACCATTGGCAAGTTTGTAAGCTACCTTTTTTCTTTGTAAAATGAGCACAATGGTATCAGAAGGCTTTTGGGATTCAATGAAGTAGTACATGCACAACTTTTAGCTCAGTGCCTGAAACTCAGTGAAGGCTAAAAACAAAAAAACAAAAACTAGCTCATACTATATGTACTCTTGTACAAAACAATATACTGTATACCTAACTTAGCATTTTCACTTTTTCTATGTAAAGTTATATTGTAAGCATTTCTCCTTAGGAAAAAACCTTTATAAACATTTTTAAATGGTTTTATTGTAGCCCGTTGTATGAATTAACTATAATTTACATAACTATTGTTAGGGAGATTTTGTTTTATTTATTTATTTAATATTTTAAAAATTTTAATATTGTGGGGTATAGTTAAGGGTTAGGTATACAAATATTCACTGTGCAAATACCCTTGTTGATAAAAGAGATTTTATTTTTGACTTTAATAAGTTAATGCTGAGATGAACATCTTTATGAATACACCTTTTTTGCATTTCTAATTATTTCCTTAAGAAAGATTCTTTGAGGTCGGTGTGGTAGCTCATGTGCAATCACTGCACTTTGGGAAGTAGAGGCAAGAGGATTGCCAGAGCTCAGGGGCTCAAGACTAGCCTGAGCAACTTGGTGAAACCTAGTCTCTACAATAAACCAAAAAATTAGCCGGGTGAGCTAACATGCACCTGTGGTTCCAGCTACTTGGAAGGCTGAGGTGGAGGGATCACCTGAGCCCAGCAGGTCAAAGTTGCAGTGGCTGTGAGTGTGTCGCTGCATTCCAGTGAGACTCCAACTCAAAAAAAAAAAGATTCTTTGAGGTAAAATTGCTTGATCAGAGAGCATAGCTTTTTTTTAAAGGCTCTTGGTAAATACTGCTAGAACCTCATATTATGAGGTTCTACCAATTTACCTTCCCATTGAAAGGTGTCCATTTTTATAAGCAATGATTTTTTTTTCAAACTTGTCAGTTTAATGGTGGGAAATACTTCAACCTAATTTGCATTGAGAAAACATTTTTCGTGCTTAATCATTGGCGTTTCTTACAAATATTCTTTACTATGTTTTTGTCTATTAGAAACTTTAAAAATGATCTTAGTATATTGGTTTTTTACATATTGAAAATTTCAGACTTTTATATTTCAGGTTTATTGTAGGTTTTCCCCCTAGCTTTCTATGCGTAAAAGTTTTAAATCTTTTTTTTTTTTTTATTTATTGTAGAGATGAGGTCTCGCTGCCCAGGCGAGTCTTGAACCCGCAGGCTCAGACAATCCACTCACCTCAGCCTCCCAAAGGCGCGGGATTACAGGCTGAGCCACCGAGCCCGGCTAAATCTTTATGTAGTCAAATCTGTGAGTCTTTTTTCCCTTCAGGATTTTTACCATTTTTTGTTTTGTTTTTTTGAGTCGGAGTTTTACTCTGTCGCCCAGACTGGAGTGCAGTGGCATGCTCATGGCCACCCCAGTGTTGACCTGCTGGACTATGGTGATCCTTCCACCTCAGCCTTTCAAGTAGCTGGAACTACAGGCGCGTGCTACCACGCCCAGCTAATTTTTGATAGATTGTAGGGACGAGGTCTTGCCAAGTTACCTGGGCTGGTCTCGAACGCGCAGGCTCAGGCAATCCACTTGCCTCAGCCTCCCAAAGTGCTAGGATAACAGAGTGAGCCACCGAGCCTGGCCACCATTGTTTTTAATAGCAAAAATTATTTACCAGAGAGAGAACAAATGTTTGCCTGTATTTTTCCTTCATAGTATTTTATATATTTAGCTGTTTGGGTTGCCTGGGATTTACTTTGGAGAATGGCAAAAACTGTGTGTACATAAGTTATGATGAAGTTTTGAAATACTAGCTCTCCAAAGGGTAAACTGAAATATCAGACTCTCTCTCTTTTTTTTTTTTGGGAGGTAGAGAATATGCCTATGAGATGTTCATCTTGACCAATATTATTCCATTAAATGTTTTTTTAAAATACTAAATGCAGCAACTATTCATGTTGACTCTTTAAAGTAATTTAATTAAAATATACTGTTCTTTTATAGGATTGACATGATAAATAATCGGTTTCGGAAAGATATGATGAAAAATGCCAGTGAAAGTAAACTTTCAAAAGATAACCTTCAAAAGAGACTTAAAGAAGAGTAAGTGTACTTTTTCATGTAATTTACTAAGAGGTATATATAACCAGTGGTTTTGGTTTGCTTATTCTTCAGCAGTGTAACAGCTTCCCACGTAGAGTGGCAAGGGCATTGCTATTGGAGACAATGAATACATTTCAGTTTTAGAGGGAAGGGTATATAAAACGAGCACAACAACAATTTGAAAAAAACCTGCAGTCCCACCACTCAGATATAATCAATGATAATATTGCATAGTTGCTTGTTCATTTGTATATGGTAAACCTTCTCTTTTCCACAATTTTATAGTATGAAAATTTTTAATGATTTAAATACCTGCCACTTGGGTTCAGTGGTTTTTAAAAATATTTTGCCGTATTTGCTCTTTATATTTGGGGTGTGTATGTTTTCCAAATCTATTTGGGAATAAGGTGCAGATAACATTTACTCCATAACTCTTCAATTTGTGTAGCCTAAGATTAAGGACATTTTTCCTTTGTAATCACAGTACTATTGTCACACCTGAGAAAATTAATAGCTTATGACCAGTCCATATTAACTTCCCCAGTTTTTGTATGTCTCTTAAATCTCTTTTCATCTAAACCAGTATAGCCATCTTTTAGTTATTTTTCAGTGATGTTGACTTTTTTTAAAGTGTGTAAGACTGTTGTCTTGTAGAATGTCCCACATTCTGAATTTTTGGATCTTTTTTTTTATTGAGTGAAATTCACAGTATTAGCTATTTTAGAGTATAAGAGGGGGGCCCAAAAAAACTGGAAATTATTTTTTAAAAATTGTGTATTTATTCTTATATGCTTAAACTTCAGTCACCTTCAAAGCACTCTCCATTTGATGCAATTTACCTATTGAGATGCTTTTTCCACTGCTCAAAAGTTTTTGAACTCATCAATTTTGATTACCTTTTAGTGGTTCTGCCATTCTTTGTTTCACCTTTTCTACATTGGCAAAATATTTCCCTTTGAGGACTTTTTTCATCTGGGGAAACAAAAAAGTGGTTTGAGGAGAGATCTGGTGAATAGGGATGGTGCCCTATACCCCATTAGTCAGTCATTCTTTGTTTCTTCTTCCCTCAACCTGATTATTTTTTCATTGTGTTGTTTAATTTGTTCTTCTTTCATCTGTGTTTTCTTTGAAGATGGGTTTGAAAGCTTGATTAGAATTAGATTAAAAATTTTTGTGAGGAATATGAAGATGATGTGTATTTACTGCATCGCATCCAGGAAAGCTAAATGTGGGATTCCAAATTAGTGACACAAAGTGTAATCACTTCGGATTTTGGACCACTAGATATTTCCATTTTAAAAGTCTAATCTCTTCTTTGCAAATAATAAGTAATTTGTGTGGTTTTTTGGACAGTGTATGAAAAACTTGTTCACTCAAGAAATTCTCAACCATTGGTTTTAAGCATTCATTGGTAATCATTGCCTGAACTAATTACAGGTTAGGTATTCCTTGCCCAAAATGCATGGGACCAGAAGTCTTTTGGGTTATAGAATTTTTTGGATTTGGGAATATTTGCCTTATACTTACTGGTTGAACAGCCCAAATTCAAAAGTTTGAAATTTGAAATGCTCATTGGAGTTTCACGTTGGTGCTCAGAAAGTTTCAGATTTTGGAGCTTTTTTGGGTTTTCAGATTTTGGATGCTCAACGGAGTGTATTACGTTAGGAGTTGTAGAATGGTGTTTTATCTGATTCTGTCGTTGATGAAAGTCCCCCATACATAGATGATAGCGGAAGCCTATTGATTTTCAAAGTTATTTTTATTAAATTTGCTGAACAAGAGAAAGTACCATCTTGACAGCACCATTTTGACAGAATCTCAGTTTTTATGGAGGAATTAGGAAAGGATATTTATGGGCTCTGGAGCTGGGGTTAGCCATAGGCATAGATCCAGAGTGGAAGTTAATAGTTATGGTCTTGGGCAAGGATTGGTCAATATCTTTGAACTGGACAAGTTGCTGGAACCTTTGTCTTTGGAAGTCTGCAGAGTTCCTGCTACTATGGTCTTGGAAGATATGGATCTGCATAGTATAGTTTATTTGCAAATTTTTGTTTTTATTGTATTTCTCAATCTACATTTATTGGTAGACATCCTTTTGAAAAGAGAATTTTGTACCCCTGGAGTTTCACCAATATTCTTTTGGATTCATGGGTTTTATTTTTCAGTTTGTTATCATCATTTGTCTTTGTTTCAAATTGTCCAGTCTTAGCCCATAGGAGACCGTCAGTGCTGGTGCTTATGTTCATATTTTTAGCTTTCTGGACTCACAAAAACATCCCAGACTCGCTTTGATCTTTTCCTGCCTAAATCAGCCTATTTTCCTAGGATTGCTGCTTTCTTTTAGTGGGAAATAATATTCAAGAGTAGGATACTAGGTATGGTTGTTGTTATAGGGATCTCATTGCTTTTAGGCTCTTTTAGTTGAATAGGGATAGGAAATAATATATATTTTATCATATTGGTACTTCCAATTCAAATTTACAAATCTTTTAAAATACTAAAAAATGTATTTACTTTTGTTTGTACTGACATTTTTGTATGTTCCTAGAGGTTCTTTACATTGTCTTTTATTTATTTATTGAGAAAGCAGGATGAGAGAACAGAAAAGCTCCCATAGTAGGAGGGGACATGAAGGGGTTGCCTTACATTGTCATTTTTCAAAAATTAGGTATATTGAGGTATAATTTACACATAGTGAAATCACATATTTAAAGTGTCATGCTGTGAATGTTATTAAATACATACAGTCATATAAGCACCACCACAATCAGGGAATCAAAATATAGAACATCTCCATCACCCCCTAAAGAAGCAACCCTTTTGTAGTCAACCCTGTGTCTTCAACTTCTAACCCTTGTAGCCTGTGACAACCACTGATCTGTTTTCTGTCTTTATAGACCTGCCTTTTACAGAATGTCTTTATAAATGAAATTATACAGTGTGTAGTCTTTAATCTGTTATACCCACTATCTTAAACATTGTATTTTTTTCAGAATTAAAATATATTTTCAGCTTGAAACTTTGTCATTTTATTTAGTTCCTATTTCCATTTTTATGGTCATACTTCCTTTAAATACTTGAATGTGTTTTTTGTATATTTTTAAGTCTTTGTATGCTAGTTCTATCTTGTCTGTCATTTCTCTGTCCCTGCTGACTGATTCTTCTTCTGGTAATGGTTCATGATTTTCTGCTTCTTTGCACATCTAGTAATTTGATTGAATTCTGGGCAATGTGAATGTTAGGCTGTGGAGTGCCTGCATTTTGTTTTTTGCTTTTTACTTTTGTCTTGGCAGGCCAGATAAAATTGTCTTGCAAATCAATTTGATCTTTTCAAGACTTAGTTTTAAGCTTTGTTAGAGTGGGTCTAAAGTAATTTTTGCTCTAGGCTGGTTGAGCACCACTGGGATCTCTACTGAATACCTTTAGTGACATATAAGGACCTGCCCTCTGACTGGTTGGAAGTCCAATGTCTGAGCTTTGTTGTGCAATTTACAGCTCCCTAGTAGTTTTTTCCCTGACCTCATGGAGTCTCATCCTATGAGTGTGTAGCTTAGTATTCAGAATTGTCATAGGACTCTTATGTAGATTTCTGGACCTCTTATTTTTTTTCCTCTGTAATACACTGTCCCTCACAGTCTAGTTTTTTGTTTTTGCTTTTGTTTTTGTTTTGAGTTGGAGTCTCACTCTGTCGCCCAGGCTGGAGTGCAGTGGCATGCTCACGACCACTGCAGCCTGGACCCGCTGGACTCAGGCGATCCTTCTGCCTCAGCCTTTCAAGTAGCTGGAGCTACAGGTATGTGCTACCACACCCAGTTAATTTTTTGATTTAGTGTGGAAACAGGGTATTCCCAAGTTGCCCAGGCTGGTCTTGAACCCCAGAGCTCAAGCAGTCCTCTTACCTCGGCCTCCCAAAGTACTGGGATTACAGGTTTGAGCCACCACGCCTGGCTCACAGTCCAGTTTTTTATCAGTCTCTTTCAAGTCTGATCTTTTTCTCTGCTTTGTGGGAGGGTCTTATAAAGGCATTTGGAGCCAGGCGTGGTGACTCGTGACTGTAATCCCAGCACTTTGGGAGATGAAGGAAAGAAGATTGCCTGAGCCCAGGGGTTTGAGACCAACCTGGGCAGCTTGGGGGGACCTTGTCTCTACAGTAAATAAAAAAAATTAGCCGTGTGTGGTGGTATGTGCCTGTGCTTCCAGCTACTGGGAAGGTTGAGAAGGTAGGGTCGCCTGAGCCTAGCAGGTCAAAGCTGTGGTGGCCGTGAGCATGCCACTGCACTCCAGCCTGGGAGACAGAGTGAGACTCCAACTCAAAAAAGTAAATAAAAAATAAAGGCATTTGGGGGAAAATTTCCTGTGGTGATAGGGTTATTAATCTTGTTTATTTTCCTTCTCTCAGGGATCACAGTCCTGTATTATCTGTTGTCCAGTTTCTGAAGCAGTTGTTTCATATGTTGTCTAGTTTTCTAGTTACTTACGGCTAGTAAGTTTAGCTTGGTGATCTGGTCTGTATTTCTGCGTCAAAAAATTAAAACAATCCTTTGCCTCTTGCAGGTACCAGTTCTTCAGAACTCCGCTATCATGAGTTCTGTAGCATTCCAGAGAAATGCTCTCATTTTATTAAAATGATGTATGATGAAGTTTGTTTATTCTTATCAGTCTTTTCAATTTTTTTCAGACCTTTTTTTCATGACGTGTTTTTTTTTTTTTCCAGACATGTTTGCATGTATGTACTGTGGCAGTGGTTTATAACCACAAAGATACTTCTTTACTTAGTCTGATATCTGGAATGTGTTGATATGAGCAAATAAGACAACCATGAAACTGGACAGCAATAATTAACTACAAATATGAATTTGGATATCCTGTATCTAGGGCTAGTTTAGGTGGATAGAGGTTTATGAAAGTTTCTAGTATAGGCAAATTGGGGCTGTTTTGTGTGAGTGAAGATAATAACTTCTGTTCATAAAGATAGTGGATTCTGTATATACTCTTAAGGGTGACCCAACCTATACTCTTTAAATGTGTCAAGCCATGTGAACATACAGTGGTTACCTCAATTTCTTTTTGTAATTTTTGCTTAGATTCCAGCATGCCATGGGGGGAGTACCTGCCTGGGCAGAGACTAATAAGCGGAAAACATCTTCAGATGGTGAGTGTTGATATCTGTTTAAGTTAGTAAATAAGTCCTTATTCCTGTCTGTTAGAGGATGAAGGAATCTTAGTGATATATCCTGATTTTATCCACTGGAATAATCTTTTCTACATTATCCTTCACCTAAGTACATCAAATAATGTTGTATTCTTTCTTGTACTGTTTCTTTTAACATGTTAAACATCCCTTGTTTCTTTGACCACTTTTTAACTTAATTTAATTTTTTTATTTTAAAGAGGTGGGGTACAATTCAGGATTAGGTATACAAATGTTTATTATGCTGGTACGCTTGTTGATGAGGTTTGCCCTTCCCTCCCCCAACAGTTTGCCTCAAGTGCCAATCCCACCCGCCTTCCCCTGGCAGTTACCCACCACTGCCAATCCCTTTCTTATAGTATTATGATAGTTGTTCAAGGTCCACTTATGAGTAAGAGCATATGATACTCTGTTCTTTGTTTCTGTGATAGATCACTAAGTATGATAGACTCTAAATCTATCCAAGTTGCTGCGAAATCCATATGTTTGTCCTTCTTTATGGCTGCAAAATATTGGCTGCAAAATATTCCATTGTGTATATATACCACATTTTTTTAATCCAGTCCAGCTTCAGTGATCAGCACAGTTGGTTCCATGTTTTTGCTATTGTGAGTAGAGCTGCAACAAACATGCGTATGCACATATCTTTTTGGTAGAATGACTTGAGTTCCTCCGGTTGTATTCCCAATAGGGGGATTGCTGAGTCATATGGAAGGTCAATTTCTAGTTCTTTTGGAAATCACCACACTGTCTTCCAAAGAGGTTGCACTAGTTTGCATTCTCACCGGCAGTGTAGAAGTGTTCCTTTTTTTCCAAGTCTTCACTGGCATCTGTTGTTATTTGTTTTATTAATGATGACCGTTCTTACTGGGGTTAGGTGGTATCTTAGTGTGGTTTTGATGATTAGTGAGGCTGAGTACTTTTTCATGTGTTTGTTGTCTGCCCGTATAACTTTTGAGAAGTGTCTATTTATGTCTTTTGCCTACTTTTTAATAGGGCTGTTTTTTTCCTTTCGATGCATTTGAGTTCATTGTAGATCCTAGATGTTAGGCCTTTGTTAGATATACAGTTGGCAGATATTTTTCCCATTCTCTGGGCTGTCTCTCTGCTTTCTTGATCTTTGGCTATTTTTTATATGACATATTTTTAGATCCTGGGTCACCAGTTTGTTCTCAGGGATGAAATGTAATTTTGTTATCCATTTTAGAATGCTACGTTTACAGGACCCCGAAACATTTTGGATCCATGTAATTATAAATATGGTTATGTTAACTATTGAAACAAAACCCCGTAGATCCCAGTAACTTAATGCAATAGATAATTGTTTTTTTTTCATGCACATAAATTTGGGATGATGAGAAGCTAGCGCTCTACCTGAGGTACCCAAGTTTATAGAGGTTCTGCCACCTTGAGATTGGATCTTCCAAAGTTGTCCAAGATGTGATATCCAGTTGGTTTATAGAGGAGGAGAGAGAGACTCACCTGGAGGAGACTTTTATTGGCCTTTTCTAGAACATGCTACTTTTGCCTACATTTTATTGGCTAGAACTAAATCACAAAGCCACACTAACTGCCAGCAAGTTTCGTTTAGCTTTGTGCCCAGGAGAAAAAAGAAATGGATTAGGCCAACAATTAGCCGACTCTACTACTGTCTGGGATAGCCTAGTCTAATATCTTCATTTTACAGATGAGGGCGTTTCAAAGGTAAAGTGACTTGTTCAAGGTATACTTATTATTGACAGAATGGTGACTAGAACTCAACTTCACAATTATGTCCAGTGTGTTATCTTTATTTGTAAGTACTTACTGAGTTTGTTTAAAAGAAAACTTTTTCTTTTAAACTTCACCACAGCAAGGCGTGGTGGCTTAAGCCTGTAATCCCAGCACTTTGGGAGGCTGAGGCGAGAGGATTGCCTGAGCCCAGTGGCTCGAAACCAGCCTGGGCAACTTGGCGAGACCTCGTCTCTACAATCAATCAAAAAATTACCTGAACTTGGTAGCTTGCACCTGTAGTTCCAGCTATCAGAAGGCTGAGGCAGAAGGATCGCCTGAGTCCAGCAGGTCAAGGCTACGGTGGCTGTGAGCGTACCACTGCACTCCAGCCTGGGCGACAGAGTGAGACTCCAACTCAAAAAATAAAAATAAATTTAACCACACTCCCTCAAATCAACAGCAATTTGTTAATATTACAGATTGTTTTGTTGCTGTTTTGTTTATTGCCCCTCCCCCCATTTTAGTTTGCTTTGTAGTCTGCTTAGACTTCATAGTGCTTTTGAACCGGCTTGAAGGATTTTGGAAGTTTTGGAAATTCTTGCCTACTATATCTTCAAATATTGTTTCAGTTCCAGCCTTCCTTTCCTTCTGGAATATTAGTTACATGTATGTTAAATTTTTTTTTTTTTGAGTTGGAGTCTCACTCCTTCGCCCAAGCCGGAGTGCATTGGCGTGCACACTCACGGCTACCGCAGCATCGACCTTCTGGGCTCCAGCGATCCTCCTGCCTCAACCTTCCGAGTAGCCCAGAATATGCGCTACCTTGCCTAGCTATTTTTTATTTTATTGTAGAGACGAGGTCTCACCAAGTTGCCCAGGCTGGTCTCGAACTGGCGGACTCAGGCAGTCTGCTCGTCCAAAGTGCTGGGATTACAGGCTAAGTCCCCGAGCCTCTCCAATGTTAAATATTTTTAACCTATTCTGTGTATTTTCTAATTTTTTTCTTTCTGTGCTTTAGTTTGTATGTTTTTTTCTGACTGATTTTCCAGACCACTAATTTTACATCTAATTTTTTTTTTTTTTTTTTTGAGTTGGAGTCTCACTCTGTCACCCAGGCTGGAGTGCAGTGACCTGCTGGGTTTAGGTGATCCTTCTGCTTCAGCCTTCCAAGTAGCTGGAACTACAGGCATGCACCACCACGCCTGGCTAATTATTTGATTAGCATTTTTCAGTTCTAAAATTTTCATTTGGTTCTTTTTTAAATATTCTAGTTCTGTGGCTCAATTTTGAATCTTGTCTTTCATTATTCTTTTTTTTTTTTTTGAGTTGGAGTCTCACTCTGTCGCCCAGACTAGAGTGCAGTGGCTACTCCCGGCCACCGCAACCTCGACCCGCTGGACTCCGGCAATCCTTCCGCCTCAGCCTTCCAAGTAGCTGGAACCAAAGGCATGCGCTACCACGCCCAGCCAATTTTTTGATTTTATTGTAGAGATGAGGTCTCGCCAAGCTGCCCAGGCGGGTCTCAAACCCGCGGGCTCAGGCAATTCACTCACCTCAGCCTCCCAAAGCGTGGGATTACAGGCTGAGCCACCGAGCCGGCTGCTCATTATTCTTCAGCATGTTAAACACAGTATTTTATTTATTTATTTATTTATTATTTTTATTTTTTTGAGTTGGAGTCTCACTCTGTCACCCAGACTGGAGTGCAGTGGCCACTCCCAGCCACCGCAGCCTCGACCTGCTGGGCTCCGGTGATCCTTCTGCCTCAGCCTTCCAAAGTAGCTGAAACTACAGGTGTGCACTACCACACCCGGCTAATTTTTTGATTTATTGTAGAGATGAAGTCTCCCCAAGTTGCCCAGGTGGGTCTTGAACTGGCGGGCTCAGGCAATCCACTCACCTCAGCCTCCCAAAGCATGGGATTACAGGCTGAGCCTCCGAGCCCGGCTAAGTTCTAGTTCTTTTTCACATGAGTTTTTAAGCTAGATCTCTTGTCCACCCTGTAGCCAATTTTGCCATAATTAGGAGTTTTTCATCTTAAACAAAGCACCAGCTTTAAACTTTTATTTCATCTCACCTTGTTTTAGTAACCATCTGTGTATGTGTTAGCCTTTCATTCCAGATCGAGCTTTGATTTTTGACTGTAAATGTTAAGCACCGTGTCCTCTTTTTCCTCTCCTTTAGATGTATTTTGCTGTTTTTCTTTTACCAGTTGCAGCTTGAACAAAGTGATCGAGGATGTTAGGCCAGGAGTGGAGTTAAAATACAGAAGTTTGGGGTAGGTAAAGGGCCATCTCATTGATTCTAACAATCAGTCTCGTGGGTTTGTTGGACTTAGATGAAAGTGAAGAGGATGAAGATGATTTGTTGCAAAGGACTGGGAATTTCATATCCATATCAGCTTCTCTTCCAAGAGGAATCTTGAAGGTAAGAGTCAGTGAAGTGGGTGGGGAGTGGCTACCCAAGTACTTACCTCTGCAATTTAATCTGCTTCCCAGTTATAGATATATGGATTCCTTTTTTTGGAATTAAGTTTGCTGTCATTTTGCCTTGGTAAATATTAATTTATTTTGTTTTTGAAAAAATGATCAAAAGATATTAAATTGTGTTCCCTGTAAATCTAGGAATCCTATTTGATTTTTCTTTTTACATTCCCCTTCATTTTCATTGGCATCAGCTTAGTCCATAGTGCTGTCATCTCTCCCCTGGAATATGTAGTAGCTTTGTGACTAGTGCCTTTACTTCCATTTTACCTCTTCCTAATTCATTCTTTGTCTAGCAGCCAGAGGAATCTGAAAAATAAAGCATCAGGTCATATCACTTTTCATTGCTTTTTGCAGACTTCTGAATTCCTTATCTTAGTCTGCACTGCCCTTCACAGTCTAGCTTCTTCCTATAACCTCAGCCTCATCACACACCTCCTCCTCCTTATTCCCTTCTGGAGCCTCCCAGGCCTTTTTCTGTTTCTGCACATGCTGGGTCTTTTCTTGCCTCTGCTTGCTTTTACGCTTGCTCTTTCCTTCTGCTTGTCTGGTCTTCTGGCACTGCTAATGGCTACCTTATTCTTTCCTTTCTGTTCACATGGCACCTTAGACAGGACTTGCTCTAAAGCGGCCTATGCTAGTCACTTTTTCACTCATCACTGTGGCACCAAGTACCTACCCAGCATGGTCCTTTAGTTAAACATCTGTCGTATTAACAGATCTCTCTGTGATGTAGGTATTTTCCCTGTTACACAATGGCATGAGTATTTAGATGGAGCAGGGGAACCTATTATGGTACATTACTAGGAGCCAGAGTGATTCTGTCTCCTCTTACCTTATGAGCACAATTTTATTCATTTCCTCATAGGATGAATTTATCTCCATTGAAGATGTAGTTACTGCTGCACTGAATGAAGTAAAAATTTAGCTTCACTGGTGACAAACAAAACATACAAAAAATATTTTTAATAGAATTTTGAAAATTTTTGGGGGACATCCTGCGTTTAGGGGGAAAACCTGTAAAAACAAAGAAATAACTAAAATAGTCAAAGTGAGTCATTACTTTAATGCAACCATGTACCCTGAGAGAAGTCAGCTTTCATGCCAACCATAGAATTGTGGGGACAACTACACAGTGCCTCTTGTATTAGTACCATGAATGTGAATTTTTATTTCATTCAGTGCAACAGTATCATGAATGTGAAGATGCCAGAGTAGGAATGAAGTAAAGTTTCCCTGGAAGTGAAAATCTCTGAACAAATGGTTATATCTTGGGGAAGTGACTATATACTGGTGCTCCAAGGACATATAATAAATTTAGGCTTCTAGATGTGGAAAGGACTTTGATGATTTAATGCCTTCATTTGAGAGATGTTAAGATTGGATTCTTGTATGGTAAAGTGATTTGCTAGTTGGTGCCAGAACTGTGGTCTTTTGGTTATCATTCCAGTGCATTTTCTTCTGCATCATAAACTGTAATGTCTTTTCTTCATGCTCTAAAGACAGTGATGTTAACTCATTTGAATCAGTAAAATTCCAGCTTTGTTTTTCCATAGATGAAGAACTGCCAGCATGCTAATGCTGAACGTCCTTCTGCAGCTCGGATCTCGTCTGTGCAGTTCCATCCTTGTGCACAGGTTGTGATGGTTGCTGGATTAGATAATGCTGTATCACTATTTCAGGTGTGCAGTTTAAAACATATATTTATTTATTTATTTATTTTTGAGTTGGAGCCTCACTTTGTCACCCAGGCTGGAGTGTAGCAGCATGCTCACAGCCACCCCAGAGTCGACCTGCAAGTAGCTGGAACTACAGGCGTGCACTACCATGCCTGGCTATTTTTAAAATTATTATTTATTGTAGAGACGAGGTTGCCCAGACTGATCTCGAACCTGCAGGCTCAGGCAGTCCACTCACCTTGGCCTCCCAAAGTGCTGAACATATATTTATTTGTTTTAAACGTGACATTATTTTTATTGAAGAACCAGAAATTTGCAATTCAAAGTGCAAAAATAATGGAAAAAAATTATGGCTTAAATGTCATTCCCTGAAGAATAGATAAGTCTCACCAGGATTCATTTGCTTAGAATTGAGGCAGCAAACTGCCCCTGTTTTTTGCTATAGAGTCTGTTGTCACCGTTGTCAGTCACAGCTGCTCTATCCCTCACTTACTCACATTTATATTGAATGCACCTGCATGACTTTTAGGTACAAGGAACCATCATAATAAGGGTTTTGGAATAAAATGTTTTTCCCAGGCCAGGCATAATGGCTCAAGCCTATAATCCCAGCCCTTTGTGAGGCGGAGGTGAGAGGATTGCCCGAGTCCAGGGGTTCGAGACCAATCTGGGCAACTTGGTGAGACCTCGTCTCTACAATAAATCAAAAAATTAGCCAGGCATGGTGGCACACGCCTGTAGTTCTGGCCACTTGGACGCTGAGGCAAAAGGACTGCCTAAGCCCAGCAGGTCAAGGCTGCAGTGGCCGTGAGCGTGCCACTGCACTCCAGCCTGGGCAACAGAGTGAGACTCCGACTCAGAAAAAAGTTTTCTCTCACTGAATACATAAAACCAGTAAAATATTGTTTTAAAATAGTAGATTGAGGAGTGATTAATGTATTAATCATTGGTGAATATGTTAATTATTTCTACACAATGTTGTGTTCTTTTAGTTTTTCTGTGAGTTACAAGAGCAAAAGGGTATGAACTCATGACTTCATTGAACCTTCCATTTTTTTTTTAGCTAATGCTAATTTACCATGATAGCTTCTTGGGGTGCAGCAGTAAATAGCATAATAAGCACCCTTTGTATCAGGGCGTCCCCGTCTGAGATGTGGATGGATGGTGAACACATGATCCCAAATGTAACCATTCCATTCTGCAGTGTTTCACAGCACTTCCTCTTTTGGATGTGGTATCCCAATTTCCTTTTAGAGGTTCATGCTTGGTCCAGTTCATGAAGTTTGAATGGGGTTGACTGTATCTCTGGCTCTGTGGGTGGACGAAACAGCCAGATAGAAGAGATCAGGAGGGCAAGGTGTGGGGAAGGAGCTTCCATTCCTTCTCAGAGCACCCCACCTTCGCAGTACTCCCATGTTCAGCAATCCAGAAGCTCTCTGAACCCCTTCTGTTAAGATTTTTTTATGGAGGCTTTTTTTTTTTTTGAGTTGAAGTCTCACGCTGTCACCCAGACTGGAGTGCAGTGGATGCTCCCGGCCAGCGCAGCCTTGATCTGCTGGGCTCCAGTGATCCTTCCGCCTCAGCCTTCCAAGTAGCTGGAACTACAGGTGCGTGCTACCACGCCCAGCTAATTTTTAAAAATTTATTGTAGAGATGAGGTCTCACCAAGTTGCCCAGGCGGGTCTCGAACCCGCAGGCTCAGGCAATCCACTCACCTCAGCCTCCCAAAGCACGGGATTACAGGCTGAGCCACCGAGCCTGGCTGAAGGCTTTTTTATGTAGGCATGTTTGATTAGATCATTGGTCATTGCTGCTTTGGTCAGTCTCGAGTTGCTCAGGTATGCATTTTTAGATGAAGACTTGGAGTGAAAAGGGCCAGGCCATATGGTCCATGAAAATAACCAAAAGAAACAATTTGTACCTCCTTATAGGTTGATGGAAGAACAAATCCTAAAATCCAGAGCATATATTTGGAAAGGTTTCCAATCTTTAAGGCTTGTTTTAGTGCTAATGGAGAAGAAGTTTTAGCCACAAGTACTCACAGCAAGATTCTTTATGTCTATGATATGCTGGCTGGAAAGTTAATTCCTGTGCATCAAGTGAGAGGTAAGCTATCAGTTGAACACACAGCTGATCATCCCCCAGTCTGAATTAATGTAACGGTGTTCACTATTTTTTTCACTCCATGGGATTCTTTACAAAAAAAACAAAACAACATGTCTTTATAGTATTTGGAAAATGTCATTGTGTTTTTGAGATACTATGTTTGAAAGAAATCAGCATTTGTCTATAAAGTTAGCAATTGATACAGCAGAAAGAGCGTGAATCAGGGAGCTAAAAGACCTGGGTACCACTTCCTTAGACAAACTTTCACCTCTCTGATCTTCAGGAAGTTTGGATACTCTCTAGTTCTAGTGTTTGTTATAATGGAATTTTGATTTATATTTAAAGGGATAAAGCACTGCTTTTGGGAGTACTTAGAAAATTTATCTGCTCTCTACCTTACCCATTCTTCTCCTGTATTACCCTACCTCTCCTGCCCCAAGATACTCTGACACCTTCATGAATCCTTTGGGAATCAAAGCCCTTGTAATGAGGTTGTCTGGGTTAATGTCAATCTTGGGAGAGAGTATTGGCATATGCCACAGCCCACTGTTAGTCTCCCTATTAAACTGTGTGTGTGACTGGAAAGCTCTGTACAACTTACAAGTGGTTGAAAGAACGTTCAACTTTAGCAACATTTATGATGTTTATCTTCAGCATTTCTGGTTTCTTTCCTGTGTTCTCTGACCCTAGAATGATATTTTCAAGTAGTTTCTTGGTTTATCTGATCGTGCTTGAAGCTAGGGCTTCTCAGAAGTTAATGTGCACACGAGTCACCCGGGGATCTTGTTAAGCTGCTGATTCTGTAGGTCCTAAGAGGACTTAATTTTTGCATTTCTGACATGCTCTCAGGTGATAGATACCATTGCTATGGTCCATGGGCCACACTTTGTTGATAGGCCTTAAACCGTCTTCTCATTTTAAAATAGAAAAAAATATGTAGTAGTTATTATTTTTTACATATCATTTCACTAATCAAAAAGGAATGGGCTTTAACCTTTCTTTATCTTGCATCGTCTTGGGAAAAAGCACACCAGAGATTGGCCAAGATACAATTTTTGGTCTTCACCCTGGGTTTGTGAGGTTGCAGTTTATAGTCACCAGCTGCTTTTGAGACATGTCGTGTATCTTTCCCAGTATTTCTTCTTTTTCTCTTTCATCAATATGCATTGCTTGGTAATAACAATACTACTAATAATGATAAATTACATGTATTTTTTGTGGTGACATGTCATTATTGAGCACTCATACTCAGCCTTTCATCATTATGAAAGTATAAATAACTCAAATTAAGAACGTTAGGCTAAGTGGGAAAATTGCTGACTAGTTAGGACTTGTAAGCCTTCTGTGTATGTAAACTCTTAGTGGCCATAAATACTAGTTTGAAAAATAAAGAATTACAGGATTGATGCAAATGGGGCATTCATTAACTTTTCAGAATTCATAGCCTGGGGTTCATAACTTGGGGTCCATGGACTGCCACAGTTCTCTGGATAGAATTCAGAAATCTATGAGTTAGATGGGGACTGACTATATTATATCTTTATTTTTGTTAATGTCTAACTGAAATTTAGCATTTCCTTCAGTTATGAATTTTTGGACATTTTGTTTTGAGAAGGGGACCATACATTTCATCAGACTGCCAAAAGTTCTATGGCACAGAAAATGTTAAGGACCACAGATTATTAATTCAGACTCCAGAAGCAGTTTCTGTTTATTGAGGACAATTTTTAAAATAGGTCTTGTACTCAGCAAATAAAAAAAGAAATAGGACTATCTGGGAATCACTGGTTGGTCAAGTAGCCATTTTGATTTTAGGCATTATGGTATGGTAATCTCTGAGCCCCAGTGTTGTTTTTCTGTGAATTCAGAGGGTCATATATATTAAAAGATAGTTTTTAAAAACTCCCACCTTAGTGCCTGCCATATGATAAATGCTCAGTATAGGGTAGCCACTGCCAGTGTTAGTAATAGCATGTAACTTATCAAAATCCACTTGCCGTTCAATGGAATTTGACTCTCTCCTAATTAATTTTGCTGTACCTTTCTTACCAATTGCTCAGCAGTTAACCTGCAAATCTTACTCACAAATCTATTGAAAGATTTGTATCTGACATCTTTAAAGCACTGTTATTTCTTTTCCTAGACGGTGTAAAAAAAAGTAAAATACTACATACCTATAACTACTGTAATGTATTATAAGCTTTGGGTGAAAATGCAGTTATGTTTCTTATTTTTCCTATTAATAGCTAAAGCAACTACCTATGTGTATTTGTTGGAAGTCTAGTATTTCCTTCTTGAGGACAACCCCTCTCTCAGAATTGCCCCAAAATAGCAGGCTTACTTAGGTGAAAAGAGTAAGGTCTTCAGCCACCTGCAGCAGGAAGAGCAGTGGACTGTGGTAAGCCCTCTGGGACGTGGCCTCTTGCTGCTGCTTTGGTTCTTTGTTCACACTGGTCCTGCATGACACGGTGGGATGTTGTACACTGTAACTCAGTGATGCCTGTGCAATCTGTATCCCTCCAGGTCTGCCATGGTACCCAGCTTGGGCTCTATGGTGAACATTTTTTAGTCCACTTGCGCATTTCCACTCCCTTATGTGCTGTTATTAGGATTAGGTCAGGGTGGGGGAGGGGGGAGATTCCAGCAGATGCATCAACAGTGTGCTAGAACCAGCCTCTCTTCCTTCCTCATGTAATGATGTTTTCCTTATGTTTGGAATACTTTTGTATACTGTAGTCAGTACATACCATTTACCCAGAATTTAGGATTAAAACTTAATAGGAATAATGAAGTGCCCGTCATAGTGAAGGAGACTGGTCATCAGCAGAAATGACCTCAGTGATTGGAAGTCTGAACTGATATTAGGGAACATGAGTCCAAGCAAGGGAACTAGGGTGTAGTCTCTGGGAGGCACAACTTGAGTGGGATGTCTAGTTTGTAGTAGTGTGAAGGCTCCTTAACCAGTATTTTCCTGTAGGGGCCATATACCTTTACCAATCACTTGGCAACTTAAAATTTAAATAGAAAAAATTAGATGTACATAGGTATATATACATATATACATACATCTTTTGACTAGATGATATATTCACATGGTACAAAATCTAATAGGTACAAATGGGTGGATAGTGAAAACTCTCTTCTCCATCTCCCTGGTCACCTACTTCCCTTCCCTGTAGGTAGCCAGTTGTATCCATTTTTTTTTTTTTTTTTTTTTGGTAAGATTAGAAAATATTGTTCATTTAAAAGCAAATTAGAGAGAGAAAAAGAAAGAGGAGATTCACCTTCCCAAGGTAGGAAAGGGGGTCAAAGCCAGGAAACACAGTGACAGCCATAGCTCGAAAAGGCCACACCAGAGTCGTCGTCTTTTTTTTTTTAAGAAAGCAGGATTTATTGAGAGGACAGAAAAAAAACTCCCACAGTGGGAGGGGACCCGAAGCGACCCCTTTGTATCCTTTCTATTAGGAGACTCTTAAATGAGTAACCTGGCTCTCTAAGCATTTTAATGTTATAAGGAGTCTTCTGCGTAGTCACTACGAACCTTTTAGGCATGAAAAAGGGGACATGTCCCTTTGTAAATAAATAGCTTGACTGGTTTATACATCTAACTCAAGTGCTTTGGTTACGTGAGTTGCACATCCTGAGAAGCTAATCAGCCCTTTAATATACTGACTTGTGATTTTTCTCTTTTTTTTGACCCACAAAGTTAAAGATTAGACTCTTATTCATCATGGGATGCTTAGTAGGTGGCCAGCAACTAGTTTATATATGTTAGTTTGGTTTTGGCTGTCTCTAAGGATAGTGTATTTCCCATCTGGTAATGAACTTTGAGACAAAGAAGTACAATTTATTCTTTTAGTTAACTAGAGGTATTACTGTTTACATTTGGAAAACTGGCTAGTATGTTAATTGTTTGGAGAGCTGAATCTGGCCTGCAGTTAAAATGATGCGTGCTAACCAAGATAAAGTAGATAAGTTTTCCATTTACTTTGTAGTGACCTTATGTTTGGGTCAAACTTGTGATGTATAGGGTCAAACTCATTCAGGTCTGAGTCAAAGTTTTTAATTTGTGGCACTTAAGTGTCTTAAAAATATTGTACATATTTCAAAAGCTCTTAGTGATCACTAGAAGATAGCCTTACTGAGAACCATATAAAATCTTTAATGATTTGTCTTTTTTCTTAGGTTTAAAAGAGAAGATAGTGAGGAGCTACGAGGTCTCCCCAGATGGGTCCTTCTTGCTCATAAACGGCATTGCTGGGTATTTGCATTTGCTGTTAATGAAGGTGAAGCATTATTATTGCTGCTTGTTCTTGGATAAGACATGAGTGCAGGAATAGTCTTGAACCTTAACTCACTATGTCTTTAAATCTGCATCTCAAGTATAGAGGAGCACAGGTGGGGCTTGAGGAGAAGTTGAGGCATTGTGGGCAGTTGAGGGGAAGCTTTTGCATACAGGAAAAACAAAGTTGAGTAGTTGCTAGGAAATAGAGAAGTAGATTGTTTTTATTCTACATAGTGTGGTTCTTCCATATACTTCCTGATTATTTGATAAGTTGTATTTATTCTCTTAGACCAAAGAACTGATTGGAAGCATGAAAATTAATGGAAGGGTTGCAGCATCCACATTCTCTTCAGATAGTAAGAAAATATACGCCTCTTCAGGTAAGTTAATGGCAAGAGAGAAGCTAAGGATGTTTTTTCATTTCAAATTTAACCAAAAACTGTATATGTAATTTAAAATTTTCTTTTTTTGGTTAAAAAATCAGATTTAGTTTTAGAATTCATTTTTGTTACTATTGCCTTCTCATTCACTAGTGATAATAAAGGGTAACCATTTGGCATGCAGTATTAAAATGTTTGGGGAAAAAATGGGAAGAAAATGCTTATTTAAAAGATGATTCATGGTAATCATTTTCCTATGAGTCCCCTGTGCAGTATACATTAAAATAAAATTTTGCATGCGTTTTATCTCTTTATCGGCCTTTTGTCATTGGATTTTCAGGTAACCTTCAAAAAGGCAAAGGGAAAACTTCCACTACAGTTTCATTTATATTAACACTCTTGAAGTGATGAAATTTTAGAAATAGAGAACAGATTAGTGCTTGTCAGGACTTAGGAGTATTTGGAGGCAGGAAGGAAGTAGAAACAACTATGAGGATTTTTGTGGTGATGGAAAGTTTTCATCTTGATGTGTCAATGTTGATATTCTGGTTGTAATGTCCTATGGTTTTACAAAATGTTAACATTGAGGGGAAACTGGGCAAAGAGAATATTGTATCTTCTGTATTACTTCTTACAGTATATTTGAATCTACAGTTATTTTAAAAGGCATACTTTTTTTTTTTTTTGAGTCTGACTCTTGTTGCCCAGGCTGGAGTGCAGTGGCATACTCACAGCCACCATAGCCTCAACCTGCTGGGCTTAGGCGATCCTTCCACCACAGCCCTCCAAGTAGCTGAAACTATAAGACGCGTGCCACCACACCCAGCTAGTTTTTGTGATTTATTGTAGAGATGAGGTGTCACCAAATTGCTCAGGCTTGTCTCGAACCCCCAGCTCAGGTAATCCTCTCTCCTCAGCCTCTCAAAGTACTGGGATTACAGGCTGAGCCACTGCACCCAGCCAAAAGGCATATTTTTAAATAAATAAGTAGCCACACGGCTCTTAAAAAGACAAGACAGTCATTCTTTAAAAGATGATTCGTTTTAAGGTTTTCTGACTTTCTCTTTGAAAGTTACTTTGAATCATCAACCTTTGCCTCATAACAGTACTCTTAACTTGGGCAGTGTGTTGAATTTTCATGATTAACTCATCCTTTGACATTGCTGTAGTTCTGTTGACCAACTCTTTATCATCCCACAAAGGCTCTACCCTCGCACTTTCCTGTTCTATCTTTCTGACTGTCCTAAGTATCCTGACTCTGACTCCTTATTCCAGAGGACCTTGGGACTTGGGGCCATCCCTTGGGACAGCTGCATAATCTCTGTAGCTCATGCTTTGTTTGGTAGGGGGAGGCATTACAGTGGTTCTGCTGACTCATATTCTACAGTCTGTGCAAGGCTTTTTAACCTCATTTTTATTTTACCTCAGCTAGAAGCATTTAGTAATATAGCATTACTTTTTTTTAAAGTTTTCAAAGGTTTTTTTAAAAAACAGATGAACTTTAGTATTAACTTTAATTTTTGTTTTTGTCCTAGAATCAAATTGTCCCAGAGTTTGAGTTATTTACATTTGTATGTTTTTAATCAACTAATATAAGAACGTATGAGAAGTACGAAATAAATAAAATATAAGTTCCTGATGAAATGACCCTTGACCTCAGGAGAGCCAGAGTAGGGGAGAATAAGTAGAGGGTCAGTCAGTAGAGATGCTGAACTTTGGTATATTAATTGGATACAGATATAATATATTTACACGTTTGGTCGCAACTGTGGAAGTCTCATTTATCATAAGAAAATCCTTAAAGAGCAGGGAAGGAGTATTCAAAAATTAAGACTTGGTAAGTTAGAGGCTGTCTGAATTTTGAGTGTTCCCCTCCTGCCTCTTACCATCTTTCTCTTTTTCTTACTCTCTATGGAGTAGTTTATGTGATTGGCCATGTGAGCAATATGCATCATATTGTTCATATTATGTTGTTACATATAAAGAATATTTTGAAATAAAAAGGAGAGTTGAAGAAGAGAATAATCTTTTATCTTTTCAACTTTTAGCATTTTTTTTCCCTCTTGGATTCATTGCTGCCTCTTCGGCCCTAAGTCTTCATCAACTCATGACCATTTCATGCACTGCTTTCTAGATGATCATACTGCCCTTGGTCCATTCTCTTTTCCTTAGAGTCTATTGCTAGACTAATTTTTAAGCATTTTCCTTTATTATAACGTTACTTGACAAACATATAAGGCAAAGGTTTTTAAAGTTGAGCCTATTCAGTTTTCCTAAATATATTTTACTACTACTTAACTTGCACCTTTAGACTAACCTGGGAAATTGTATTTGTGTAGGAAATAGTCGAAACAGTGGTATTCACTGAATTCTCATTGGGAGAATAAGAATACATCTAGAAAGGTGAACTTTAGAGCAATATTCACAGACAGGGAAGAGGTGAAATAGGGAGTGTGGACCCACCTTTGAGATGGACGTAAGGTCATAGAAATGTGTAACAGGTGTGGGGACAGGGTAGTCAGTATGGAGTGCTGTAGGAGAGAGGAAAGAGAGTAAGGACAGATCTGGGCTGTTAGGTGGCCATTTCCATCATGGAAATATCTGTGGTCTCTTCAGATTAAAATATCCTCTCTTACTATCTTGCACGCATAATTCTTCCTTCTTTAAACTGTGTTTATCAATAAACCCACAGTGAGCATCCCTCATTTAAGTGATTTGGTAATAGATACATTTTGTGTATTTTCTTAATTAATTTATAAATTCCTTGTGGTCTGGATCAGTTCATTCTTCACTTTTTTCTCCTCCATCATCATCACTAACAGTTGGGTGTCTAAGTCACTAGCCTTCCATGTTAGATACTCTACTGCCTCTTCATAGATGCAGAGAGAGTTAAGCTGGTGGGTGGTGTTTTGTTTTGTTTCAGAGTTTTGCTCCAATAATTTATCTTAGTGAAATATAGAAACTTCCTGAAAGCTCAACTCAAACCAACAGTTTGTGACTAACCACTAGCTGATGCAATTTTCTTCTATATATGTGAATGTATGCAAGAAATACTTTAGTCCAGTTTTCTAGAACTAGAGGGATTATGGTGTGTCTACGTTTGTAGTCCCATGTACTATTAAAGAGGGGCTAAGAGTGGTTAGTTTACTCGCTTTTCAAGTTTAAGGCAAAATTAACAAAATCCTTTTTTGGCTCTTTCATTCAGGGGATGGGGAAGTTTACATTTGGGATGTGAACTCTAGGAAGTGCCTTAACAGATTTGTTGATGAAGGCAGTTTATATGGATTAAGCATTGCCACATCTAGGAATGGACAATATGTGGCTTGTGGGTAAGTAAATAGAGGTTTTTATAACCTTAAGCACATTGTGCTAATAAGAAAATATTAAGGAATTGAACATTGGTGCATGAGCAGTTCTGTTTATAAACTACTTAGTAATAGGAATTGGTCAACCCAGGTGAGCCTTTTGCATTTTATTGTTTTAGAGTAGTGTTTAATAATAATATTACAGCAGTCTCCTCAGTCCACAGTTTTGCCTTCTGTAATTTTGGATACCTGTGGTCAGCTATGATCCAGAAATACCACATATGATAAGGTATTTGAGAGTGGCCACGTTCACAACTTTTATTACAATATATTGTTATAATTGTTCTATTTTATTATTAATTATTGTTGTTAATCACTTACTTGCCTAAATATAGATACTTCCTAAAAGCTCAACTCAAACCAGTGTGACTAACCACTAGGTGATGCAATTTTTTTCTATATATGTGAATGTATACAAGAAATACTTTAGTCCAGTTTTCTAAAACTAGAAGGATTATGGTGTGTCTACGTTTGTAGTCCCATGTACTATTAAAGAGGGGCCAAGAGTGATTAGTTTACTTACTTTTCAAGTTTGAGGCAAAATTAATCAAAGTTAAACTTTATTATTGGTATGTATGTATAAGAAAAAACTTACTGGATATAACATTTGGTACTGTCCATGGTTTCAGGCATCCACTGGGGGGTCTTGGATCATATCCCTTGCTGATAATGGGGGCTACTGTAATGGCAGTGTATCAGCTTTTTAGCAAAGAAAATACTGAACTACCTGATGTCATTGTGCTTTTTCCTATATTTGAAATATCCATTTGATCACATTAAGTATTTTCAGCTTCTTATTGATGAAGAGGCAGAATAAATAAACTTTGGGCTTAACTCTTTTTTTGTGTGTGACTTGGAGTTTCACTCCATCACCCAGGCTGGAGTGTAGTGGCATGCTCACAGCCACCCCAGCATCGACCTGATGGGCACCAGTGATCCTTCCACCTCAACCTTCCAGGTAGCCAGAACTACAAGTGTGCACTACCATGCCTGACTAATTTTTTATTTATTGTAGAGACAAGGTCTTGCCAGGTTACCTGGGCTGGTCTTGAACCTGTGGGCTCATGCAATCCACTTACCTCAGCCTCCCAAAGTGCTGGGATTTCAGGCTGAGCCACCGAACCCAGCCTGGGTTTAACTCTTAAAGATATCCCAAGAATTTTTCCCTCATCTAGCTAGGTTGGATGTTGCTTGGAGATACTATTTGTTAGTACTGTAGAAACTTAAAAACGTTATCTAGAATGTATGTTATTGTGCTGTTACTGAAAAAAAAAGTTATTACACTGGGGTAAAGATGGCTCTATTTTCCTACTTGACTCTAAAGATGCAGGGAGGAAAGAAAGAGGAGGCATTGGATACTTACCAGTAATTCTAAGCTGTCTTACCAAACCACTATAGCACCATACCCATAATTCTGTAACTTTAAGAAGTAGATTTTTATGACTTTTTTGACCAAACACAATTGAGATGTAAAAAGATTTCAATCACATCCTCCCTGGGTGGGAAGTCTTGCTGTCTAGAAACAGCATACTCTCCTTGTTTTCCCCTCCTTCAAGGTTAGGGCAAGTAGAGCTAGGCTGTGGAACTCCCTCAGGCAGGAGAATAGTGCCACAGATAACAGATTTGGGAGTGCCCTGAGGAAGGTCCTTCCTTCCCTTTGTTACCCCATCACTGTACCTATGCCAGACTTGTAGAGAGGGACGTTTTGAAATGCTCCAAGCATTTGCCAGAGTAGAGTGCATGGTGGCGGCAGTTCATGAGTAGCAGATCTTCGGGGAAGAAATCTCCTTTAAAACGAAGATTGGTGTTTAAACTAATAATAAGTCATTTTAAGCAGAACTGCTTTTCTCTGTGGGGCAAGAATAACTGCACAAAAATGACCTTCACTCAAATTTGTGAAGTCAGTGAAGTTAGCCTTTTTCTGGTCTTTGCTCTATTTTTTTTTGTATCACTTTTTATTATATCACCTTTGAAAGGCCTAAACAGGAAGGAATCTAATACTAGTTGTTTAAACTCATGTAATTTTAATTACCTTTTAGTGTAATTGAATTCTGATGTGCTTGGCCAAAGACCATTTAAGCCTTTAGAATCTTTTGTTGTTATTTTAAGGGACAAGGTTTCACTCTGTTTCCCAGGCTGAAGTGTAGTGGCATGATCATAGTTCATTGCAGCCTTGAGCTTCTGGCCTCAAGCCCTTCTCTTGCCTTAGTCTCCCGAGTAGCTGGAACTACAGGTGCATGCCATGAAGCCCAGCTAATTTTTCTATTTTTTTTTTTTTTTTTGGTAGAGATAGAGTCTTGCTGTGTTGCCCAGGCTGGTCTCGAGCTCCTGGTGTCAAGTGTTCCTTCTGGAGTGGTGGATTACAGGCGTGAATCTGTGCCTGGCCATAGAATCTTAAAGTTATTCTTTTTTTTAATTTGCTTAAAAAGTTTTTTATATGTTTAGGAGGTACAAGTACAGATTTCGTACATGCATATATCACATCATGGTGAAGTCTGGGCTTTTTTTTTGAGTTGGAGTCTCACTCTGTCGCCCAGACTAGAGGGCAGTGGCACGCTTCTGGCCACTGCAGCCTTGACCTGCTGGGCTCCGGCGATCCTTCCACCTCAGCCAAGTAGCTGGAACTACAGGTGTGTGTTACCACGTCTGGCTAATTTTTTTTTATTTATTGTAGAGATGAGGTCTCGCCAAGTTGCCCAGGCAGGTCTTGAACCCGCGGGCTCAGGCAATCCACTCACCTCAGCCTCCCAAAGCACGGGATTACAGGCTGAGCCACCGAGCCTGGCTAAGTCTGGGCTTTTAATGTACTTGTCACCCAAATAATGAACATTGTACCCAGTAAGTAATTTTTCAACCCTCAGCCCCCTCCCACCTTTTGTAGTCTTCAGTGTCTACTTTTCTGGTCTGTGTCCATGTGTAGCAATGTCCAGCTCCCACTTAGAAGTGAGAACATGCAATATTTGACTTCGTTTCTGAATTATTTCACTTAAGATTGTGGCCTTCCAGCTCCATCTGTGTTGCTGCAAAAGATAGGATTTCATTCTTTTTTATGATTGAGTAGTATTCTATGGTATATTCTGTAGTATGTATATACATTGTCTTTATCCAGTTCACTGTTTATGGGCACTTAGGTTGATTCCATATTTTTACAGTTGTGAATAGAGCTATGATGAACATAAGAGGACAGGTATCTCTTTGATATAATGATTTATTTTTCCCTTTGAGTATATACTCAGTAATGGAATCAAGTGATAGTAGAATCTTACAGTTATTCTCGAAGAAGCTTAATAAAAGTTTAATCTTCTAGAAGAGGAAGAAAGGACCAGGGAGACGAGCTTTGAGGCCACTGCAGTAATTGGCAGGCATTAGGTGATGAGGTGGTCACCAGGGCAGTGGGTATGGGAAGAGGGGAGATAGGCCATGTTTATAACATATTTGATCACTGCTTAGAAAGTGGGGAGTAGGAAAGAAGCAGTCACATTCTCAGGCTCCATAGAGCAGCCAGAAGAGTGGAGTTGTTTGTGATCAAGGATGGGGAGGAGGAGGCAGAGTGGTGGTATTGGAAGATGATGTGCACGTGGCCGTGCCCACACACACTTCGAAATGCAGTGCAGAATTGGGCTGAACACTGATTGGGACGTGGTAGTTGACAGGCGTTCTGTGAAAGTGAGTGAGATGAGTGAGACACTAGAGATAGGCTGGAAATAGGCCCTTGGGGGCAAGAGTTAGTGGAGAAAGAGGTGACTGTGAGGGAGACTGAGGACACAGGAAGAGTCAGTACCGAGTTCACCCTTTGAGAAGTCAACAAAGGGGAGAGTTTGAGTTCTGTTTTCAGGCCTGTTTGATCAGAGGTTCTGTAGGACAACTGTGACTGTAGTGGCTATGGTTGTGTCTTAAACTCCCTGTGTGAAGAGGGGACTTCTTCAGGCCACCTGCACATGGCCAAGGAGAAGCAAACAGCTGTATCGAAGGCCACACCAGTCTGGAGTAGAGTGTGCCCAGAAGGACTCGGGCAACCCCAGGGAGCGGGCAGCTGGTGAGTCCCTTGGCGGCAGTTCATTCTATGTCTTGTTATTGTCCTGCAGTTCTCTTGATCCCCACTTTTACATGCGGCTCCCATGTTGCCAGTTTGCCTGTCCCTTGGGTATTTCTCTGAGTGTGGTATTTCAGCCTTTCCAGCACAGAATACCCACAGTAGTGGTTAAAATCCAGGATTCCTGGGCTCTACTCCAGCTCTGTGAATCAGAATGTGGAACTGGAGGGTGGACATGTGAAGCTGAGGAGTTTGCTTGTTAACACACTAGGTGATTCTTATGCATTTTAAACTGGTTATATTCGCACTTTTCCCCCTGCTTCGGGGCTTTTTGAGCTAGCACTACTGGAAATTTGGGCTGGATAATTCTTTGTACTGGGGCTGTCGTGTACACCGTAGGATGTTTAGCAGCATTCCTGGCCTCTCCCCAATAGCCAGTAGATGCCAGTAGCACACCTTCACCTTGCACTCACCAGTTGTGATCATCAGAATGCTTCCAGACATTGCCAAATGTCCCCTGGGGAGCTAAATTGCCACTGGTTGATAACCGTTATTCTAACTTACAGTTTCTTGTTCATAGTATGCAGAATTTATCCATGCCCCCTGTATGCTCTTTCTGTATGTCTTTTCAGCTTGGACTCTCACTACCAGGTCCCAGTTCCTAAGAGAGACATTGATCTAGCTAATGGCCATCATTCCTGTTTGGGAAGACTTTGCGTCCAACCTGGACACTCGTGGTTGCTGATCTGTGAATGGGCCGAGCCCTTGATTCACGACCCACTTCTAGTCCAGTTGGCTTGGTTGGCAGTGGGAGGATGACATTCATGTCATTCTTTTAGTTAGGAGTTCAGGTGAGCTAGGAAGCACACTTATTTCTCCTTTTGTTCCTGCTCTTTCCCTTGCCTGTCATCCCATTTTTCCCACTTAATGTCTGCTGTCCCCAGCTGGCTCTTCAAAGGTCATCCATCTGGAGCAACTTCATCTCATTCTTTTTCTCTTCTTTGAGTTTCTGGATAACAGAGCTTAGTGCTGTATTGTCTTCACTCGTATTTCTGGCTGTTTTATGCAGATTTTTTTTTTCGGAGGTAAATTTCTTTTGATATTCTGTATGCCTGTGACACTTTGCATACTGCTGAGCATATGGATATCATTCAACAAATGCTAGTCACTTTTAGTAGCATGTTAGAGTAAGCTTTATTTGGCTGGGCTCGGTGGCTCAGCCTGTAATCCCGTGCTTTGGGAGGCCGAGGTGAGTGAATTGCCTGAGCCCGTGGGTTTGAGACTCGCCTGGGCAACTTGGCGAGACCTCATCTCTAAAATAAATCAAAAAAATTAGCTGGGCGTGGTAGCGCGCGCCTGTAGTTCCAGCTACTTGGAAGGCTGAGGCGGAAGGACCGCCGGAGCCCAGCAAGTTGGGGCTGCGGTGACTGGGAGTGGCCACAGCACTCCAGTCTGGGCGATGGAGTAACTCCAACTCAAAAAAAAAAAAACAGCAAACTTTATTTTTTAGCACAAATAAAACTATAAGAATGTTCATTCTAGTCATACTCTTTTATAAAAAAATATTTTTGTATAGCAGTAATTAACTTGTGCCATTTTTGTTCCACAAATTTAAGTAATAATCAAGTAAGAATTAATAGGCATTATTTAAAGAGCCATGATGTTCATGATGGTAAAATTTAGAAGAGCCATATGGATTGTAACTCTTTGTCTTTAAGGTGGATTTAGGCATAAACTAGTTTTCATCAAGGAAAGAGATTTAGTGTAAAATAAGTACAATGAATAAGTATTTTGATCCAAGTCAAAAATATGAATAAGGAAAAGATGATACTTGTCTTAGTTTGGCCTGCTGGAACAAATACCATATCTGTGTGACTTATAAATAACAGAAATTTTTCTCACAGTTCTGGGGATGGAAGTCCAAGATCTGGGTGTCAGCATGGGTGGGTCCTGGCGAGGGCCTCTTCCAGGTTGCAGGTGGCTCATTTCTGAATGTACAGTTACTGGCAACCTGAGGAAGAGGAGCTCTGTGGGGTCTCTTATGAGATCACTAACCCTGTTTATGTGGGCTCCATTCTTATGACCTGATCACCTCCCAAAACCCTACCTTCTAATACCATCACATTAGGGGTTAGTATTTCAACACAGGAGTTTTGTGGGGACTAAAACATTCAGTCTACCGAAGGTGGAATTTTCTTCTCAAGTGGTTAGTGCAGTTAGCGCTACTTAAATTAAGGGGCTGTTAGAATCAGATGAGGACAATGTGTGTGTAAGTAGTTTGAACACTTTAAAGTACTAAATAATTGTAACACATTGTGTGTTGGCTAATTTCAAGCTGTGGAATCTTTTTTTTTTTTTTTTTTTTTGAGTTGGAGTCTCTGTCACGCAGGCTGGAGTGCAGTGGCACACTCACGGCCACCGCCTCTACCTGCTGGGCTCGGGCAATCCTTCCACCTCAATCTTCCAAGTAGCTGGAACTATAGACATGCGCTACTATGCCCGGCTAATGTTTAATTTATTGTGGAGATGAGGTCTCGCCAAGTTGTCCCAGGCTGATCTCGACCCTGCGGGCTCAGGCAGTCCACTGCCTTGGCCTCCCAAAGTGCTGGGATTACAGGCTGAGCCATTGAGCCCAGCCATATCTTACATGTGAACTGAATTGTCTTCTGTATGCATTGTGCCTGTCTCGTTGTTGGCAATCAGGAAGTATTAAGTGAATACACAAGGATGTTTGAGTGCTAAGAAAAAGGGTATACTTGGTGGAATATGTGTTTGTCAGTCTTGTGAAATTGAGGCTTAATTTGTAGCATCTTTGATATTTATATTGCAGTCACTAATTAAGTACTTCTTCTTGTACTTTATACTGTGCATGATGCCCATAATTAGGAGGTCTGAACATTGAGATCAAAACTTTTACTTAAAGTTCCTGCCTATGAATGATTCTGTTAGTGATCGTTAGAATTTAGTTTGTAAGAGTATCTGGTATAATTCATCATGGTAGATATTTAACTAAACTTGGAGTGAATGATCACTTTTCTAACTCTTGACTGTAGATATTCCTAGTAAAGCCAGACTAAGATGCCTGCAATTACTGCTGTTATTCAGCACTGTTTTGGAAGTTCTTGTACATGTGTCTCCTTTCTCTTCTTACTGTTCTAAATGGGAGAAAGACAATGACTCACACATTGAAATGTTAAGCCTTAGCCACTGTGAGAGTAGAGGGCTTGATCTCTTCTGTTTACCTTTATATTCCAGACACCTAAACAGTGCCTGGCCTAGAGTTGGCATGCAATAAATATTTATTGAAAGAATGAAAATGAAGATTCTATGTTTTCTTGGATTTTCTATCTAGAACCGCAGTTGAAAGCTGCCAGAGTTAGCAAGAGTTCAGCAAAGGCTGAAGTCTGAGCTGCTAGAATGTGTCTAGCTTTTGCCTTGGGATGAACTCTCCAGCCACTGGTCTGTTTATAACATATGATTCCTGCAAATACCAGTCTGTGGGGTTAAATCTATATTCATTTAGATAGTAAAAGCCTTTTACTTGTTTTTTGATATTTTATTCCTTTTTTCTTTGCAGTTCTAATTGTGGGGTGGTGAACATATACAATCAAGATTCTTGTCTCCAAGAAACAAATCCAAAACCAATAAAAGCGATAATGAACTTAGTCACAGGTGTTACTTCTATGACCTTCAATCCTACTTCAGAAATCTTGGCAATTGCTTCAGAAAAAATGAAAGAAGCAGTCAGATTGGTAATTTTCTTTACTCTTTTATCATTGGTAATTATTAAATTTAAATTGTAAACATGGAAAGGTAACAGGTGATTGGTGGGTGATATTAAGAAGAGTGGTTTATTTTAGTTATTATAGTTCTTGGATATGGTTGTTGGAATGATGCACAATAACTTACAAATTTGTATTATGTCAGTTCCTTTGGGAAAGCTATGCCGTCCATTCTCAGCATCTTTCTTTCTTTATCCTTTTGAGACAGGGTCTTACTCTGTTGCTCAGGCTGGAGTGCAGTTGCACTATCACCACATTCAGCTAATTTTTAAATTTTTTTTAGAGATAATGCCTTACTTTGTTGCCTGGGCTTGACCTCTTGGCCTCTGATGATCCTCCTGCTTCAGCCTTCCAAAGTTTTTTTTCTTTTTTTGAGTCGGAGTCTCACTTTTGCCCAGGCTGGAGTGCAGTGGCATGCAGCCTCGACCTGCAGGGCACAGGTGATCCGTCCGCCTCAGCCTTCTAAGTACCTGGAACCACAGGCACATGCCACCATGCCCAGCTAATATTTTTGATTTATTGTAGAGAACAGGGTCTCTCCAAGTTGCCCAGGCTGATCTCAACCCCTGGTCTTAGGCAGTCCTCTTGCCTCAGGCTCCCAAAGTGTTGGAATTACAGGCGTGAGCCACTGCTCCCAACCTCCAAAGTGCTTTTTAAAGTGCCAGGATTACAGGGGAGAGCCACTATGCCTGGTTCATTCTCAGCATTTCCTAGGTGGTAGTCCTCATTTTCAGAGATTTTTTTCAGCATATATATTAAGGGATATACTTAAGGCAAACACTTCATTCCTTTAGTTTTCTTTTGTCATCAATTTTTTAAAAGCCCATTGTTCTTAATAGATTGAAGGCAATTCTTAGGTTTTGGAAATAAGTTGAACTTGAATTGTATAAAATTATTGAACTTAAATTGCATAAAAATATTGCAGTGTAGGCCGGGCTTGGTGGCTCAACCTGTATTCCCAGCATTTTGGGAGGCCGAGGTGAGTGGATTGCCTGAGCCCGTGGGTTTGAGACCATCCTGGGCAACTTAGTGAGACCTCGTCTTTACAATAAAATAAAAAATTAGCCAGATGTGGTAGTGCACACCTATAGTTCCGGCTACTTAGAAGGCTGAGGCAGAAGGATCGCCTGAACCCAGCAAGTCGACATTGGGATGGCCACGGGTGTGCCATTGCACTATAGCCTGGGCAACAGAGTGAGACTCCAACTCAAAAAAAAAAAAAAATTGCAATGTAAATTGTGAGAACTTGTAAATAAGGTCTGTGTCAGGGATCCCAGGACCACCTCGAGGTTTGGTGATTTACTAGAAAGACTTACAGGACTCTGCATATGATTATTCTCATGGCTAAGATTTATTATAGTAAAAGGACCTAAAGCCAAATCAGCAGAGGAAAAAGTTCCATGCGGTGAAATCGGGAGGAAACCAAATGCAAGTTTCTGAGTCTTTTCTTAGTGGACTCACATGGGACATATTTCATTCCTCCAGCAATGAGTTGTGACAACATGGGATAAGTGTTTTTTACCTGGGATGCTCGTTGTAGACTGAGTGCTCAAGGTTTTTATTGGGGGTTCAAGTAGGCACTCTTTGCCTAGCATGTACCAAAATTCTAGACTCCCAGAAGTAAAGCCAGGTGTTTATCATAAATTGCATTGTTTGTATGAATGATTTAAGTGCAGTGAGCCACCCTTATCATTTAGGGGGATGTTTCATGCCAGTGTAAGGAGCTGTTTACTAGTCAAGTTCCCAGACACCGTTCAAGGGCCACTTTTGCAGGCAGGCCTTTCTGAGGATGGCAGCCTCAGGCCATTGCCAGCTCTTTTCTGCCCATACTCAAGTTCAATTTAAATGTCACCCCATCTTTGTGAAGTTTTCTGTCCTTCAGGTGGTACCAACTTCCTTACTCATTTCACAATTATTTATTCTAAGCACCAGGTATCAAAGAAGTCAGTGCTTTTTAAAAAGAAATATTATTTTAGATTCAAGGGGCATATATGCAGGTTTGTTACATGGGTGTATTGTGTGGTGGTGAGGTTTGAGCTTTGATGCCTCTCAGTACCCAGTGGATAGTTTTTCAATCCTTGTTCCCTTCCCTCCCTCCCTCTCCCCCTTAGGAGTCTCCAGTGTCTATTGTTCCTGTGATCTTGAGTAGCAGTATTGTGCTGTTGTTGCATGTGTTCTGCCAGATTATATGTACTTTACAAAGTCTGTTATTTTTATCCTGCTTACTCAGTAAAAAAAAAAAACATGCATACTCCATCAGCTTTGTATTATAGTGTATAGTTTACAAAGAGTCTGTTTTTGTTTTAGAGACAGGATCTCACTCTGTTACCCAGACTGGAGTGCAGTGGCATAATCATAGCTCACTGCAGCCTCAAAACTCTTGGCCTCAAAGGATTCTCCTGCCTCAGCCTCCCCAAGTGCTGGGATTACAGATGTGAGCCACCACACCCACCCTCTGTTTACAAAGATTTATAAAGAATTCTACCAAAAAAATTGAACCTAATAACAGTTCTTCAGAGGATTAACTTGCCCAAACTCAACAGTTAATATTAAGGGAGGAATTGTGATTCCAGATTCCATATTCTTTCAGCAGTTCAGTAGTTTTCTAGCTGAACAGAGCCCTAGAATGTGAATAGGACCGTATATGGTATATAGGGCAAGGAGACAGCTAAGCTCCTTGTATCATATAGACTGTTATCTGTGGTACGTACTGGGATGCTGCATACTATTTTCTTAAGAAAGGTTCTGCTGGAAAAGGAGTTTGAAAAATATAGCATTGTGCTTTATTGCCTCTCTGTTGAATGAATCATTTGATAAATGAGAAAGTTCTAATTCAAGTCAGCTTAAAACCCCTGCTCCTCTAATGGGAGTGGTGTACTAGTACATATTAACCTTTTATCATTTTAATGGTAGTAAATTGTTTTAGAAAACCATGAGATCTATCTCCTGTTGACATAATATATTCTACAAGACACATAATAGTTGCTCTGTATAGTTTGCTTCAGTGATCATGACAGCATTTATGTTTTTTTTATTGTGGCAAAATCATGCAAGGAATTCATTAGTAACAGCCAAATCACAATGTTTAAATGGTAGTCAACCATAATATCTAATGGAAAGAAGCCAGGCATAGCAGCTTCAGAAAGCCTCAGTGAAACATTGTTAGTATCATTAAATGCAGTTGCTTATAATGATCCAAACAGTTTTGTCATCCCAGTACAAAGGAGAATGAATATAAACCTAAGCTGTTGTACCAGTAGGAGACTCAGGAGTCAAATTGCTATTACATCTACAATTTTGGAAGTAGTAGAAAGTCATGGAACTTCTTATCCATAGAATATAGGATGAGTGAGCTTTCACTTGTTGAATTTATATCTGGACCCTTAGCTGTCATGACAGCAATAAAGGGGACTTGAGTTAAAGAAGTTTGGGAAACTGAGGCAAGAGTATTGCTTGAGCCAGGAGTTCGAGACCAGCCTGGGCAACATGACAAGACTCCTACTAAAAAAATAAAATAAATAAGTAATAAATATATTTAAAGTAACTTCTCAGCTGGGTGCAGTGGTTCATGCCTGTAATCCCAGCACTTTGGGAAGCCAATATGGGAGGATTACTTGAGCCCAGGAGTCTGAGACCAGCCTAGTGAAATCTCATCTCTATAAAAATTAACTGGGTGCGATGGGACATGCCTATAGTCTCAGCTACTTAGGAGGCCAAGGTGGGAGGATCTCTTAAACCCATGGGTTTGAGGCTGTGTGAGCTGTGATTGAGCCACTGCTCTCCAGCCTGGATGACAGAATGAAATCTTGATGCAAAAAAAAAAAAAAAAAAATAGTTCAAATTGGGTTACTGTCAACTTCTTAGCTGCAATGGATCAAGCCCACTTATTAGCACCAGTGCCTTCACATTGAGGCTGCTCTGTTCAGTAGAACCTGCCTTCTGGCAAAGTTGAGAGTAATTGGACATGGTTTTGAAATTCACTGTAGCCGTTTATTTTCTTGACAAAGTAGTATGTATCAGAGAGAGTTGGGCCTAATAAGTGACTGGCTGAAAACTGTTTAATAGACAGGTGTACTTATCAGTGGGTTTACCCAGTACTTGTCTGTGAAAGTCACCTTGATTAGGTGGTATAGAGTCTCACCTAAAAATGTGGAAGATGATAGACTGTCAAGGTGAATAGCTGAATGACTGTGTATGTATTTGAACATGAAGATACTGTGTCTATTGGAAAAACTAGAGAACATTTGAAAGTGAGAGTTGGCACCCTTGCAATCTAGAGGTAATTGCTTCCAGGCCTGGGTTTTATTGATCCACAACTTGGGTGAGGATTTGTCTCACCTGCCTTGGACTTGGGCCTGTTTTTCCCAGAAGTATGCTCTGGAGAAAGGGACTGTGCCCCTTCTTATACTAAGGCCTGGCTTTGGGGGTGAGCTATTTTGGCTGTCTCTAAATCAGAACACAGTTTCACTTGGGTCAGGCTTTCATGATTTAGCCCTCTTTGAGGAGAAATTGGAAAAGGCAAAGAACATATTACATAGTTGAGAAGTAAGTGTAAAAAAAAGCAAATTATATGATCTTAGAAGATGTGGTATGACTTTGCCAAGGCTTCAGTTATGTGAAATCAAGACTCTTCATAACGTTTAAAATCTCTGTTCCCTGCAATCAGATTTTAGTATTTAATACTATAGTCATTAAGCTAGAGCATTAATGGGTACTACCACTGACTTTTCATTTTAGTTTATTCATTAATTTATTCATTCAGAAAACATTTGAATCGTCTAGGCATCGTGCTAGATGCTGCATTAATACTTCCTTTTTTTCCTTCTCAGTTAATAGACCAAATTCTATAGTGTGTACATGTGAACACAGAGAGTGGAATAATAGACATTGGAGAATTGGGAGTTGGGAGGGAGGTGAGGGATGAGAAATTGCCTGTGGATACTGTGGATGCTTTTTGGGTGGTAGTTACACTAAAAGCCCAGACTTCCCCACTGCACAGTATATCCATGTAACAAAACTGCACTTGGACCCCTAAATCAATCAATCAATCAATCTATCTATCTATCTATCTATCTATATATATATATATATATATATATATAAATTAAAGATCAAATTTTAATTTGGAATACTGTGCTATACTAAGTAATACTTTCTTGTTTGTTGCAATCAAAATGAACTTTTTGTTTCAGTAAAAAGATAGAATGAAGATTAAAATGTAAGAAAGATGAGCTTCCAGTTGTTGCGATTTAAAACCTTTTGTTATCTCCTGCAGGTTCACCTTCCTTCCTGTACAGTATTTTCAAACTTTCCAGTTATTAAAAAGAAGAATCTTTCTCATGTTCATACTATGGATTTTTCTCCCAGAAGTGGATACTTTGCCTTGGGGAATGACAAGGGCAAGGCACTGCTGTATAGGTAGGTATTATTTATGTTTAAAAGTCAGAGATACCTATAAACTTTCTTGTTTGTTTCTGTTTTAAGTCGGGGTCTTGCTCTGTAGCCCAGGTGGGAGTGTGGTGGCACAATCATGACTCACACAACCTCGATCCTCTGGGCTCAGGGGATCCTTCCGCCTCAGTGCGTGCCACCACATCTGGCTAATTTTTTGATTTTTTTATGGAGACAGGGTCTTGCTATGTCCAGGCTGGTCTCAAACTCCTGGGCTTAAGTGATCCTCCCACTTCAGCCTCTCAAATGCTGGGATTATAGGCATGAGCCACCTGTAAACTTTTTTGACAATGTAAAGAGATACTATATGTTCCCAATTCTATAATTATATACAAATTATTAGTCCTACAATTAATAAATTGTAGAGTATTCAACTTGACTCTCATCTTCATTATTTTACTTTGAGCATTTTTCTACCATAATTGTCACTAGCAGAAAAGTTCATCTGGGGAATATATTTTTTCCTCAGTAAGCTATATTTTGAGAATGTCAGATTGAGAAAAAAATAGCCACTTTAATAATATTGCCACTTTCTTGGTACCTTATGTTTACATTATCTTTTGCTGATTTGATAACTCACTATTTACTCCAGTAGATGTGTGTGTGTGTGTGTGTGTGTGTGTGTGTGTGTGTGTAAAGGCGTTTCTTTCCCTGGAGCTGTAAGCTGTAAATAAGGATATTAACCACAAAGATTTCCAAAAGTTATATACTCTGTCCAGGTTCTTTTTTGTACCTAACATACTTGGCTATAAAATAGGAACAAACAAAAACTAATTGCATCATTGCTAGAAGATATAAGTGACAAGGTAGCTCTTCAGGGAAAACTAAAGCGCTCTCAGTAGGCAAGCCTATGACTTAAATCACAGGACTTTTCTCTTACTCCTTGTGTTGATAGTAAATGCTGCATAGAACCCTCTGTTTATGCTTGTTATATGTTAGGGAATGCCTGCTTTCCATATAAACTGAAATTGAAGTGAAGAAAACGAGGAATGTAAATTGGTTTTGAGGAGATGGTTTGAAAAGAACATAACAAACAATAATGTGGTTTAAAGTTCTACTTACTTTGACTGGAACATGGGTTATACCAGAATAATTCCATCAGTCTCATTTCAGATCAGATTTGTAATGATTTTATTTCAGTTTGAGTTTTATAAAAGGATGCAGATTTTTATTGTACTTAGAAATTATCTTTCAAAGCTTTGGTTTTTTATAACTGAAATTTTCTTTTCTAAGCTCCTAAAGCCATTAGATTTTCACCAGAGCATTGCTCTCTAGAATGAGACTGTTTTTGGCTATACCAATAAGTGGGCTGGACGTATGACATTTCTGTTGGGTATGGCTGATCAGACATTACATACACCCCAATTTGATGTTTTGGAGCAAGCTTAATTATTTTTCTAACATCTGAGGCATTAGGATCCTCCAGAATGTCAGATAAAGGAGTCTGAATCTAACAGCTTAGTGAGAATGATGGTGATTTCATATTATTCCCCCTAAAACTTTCCTGAGTACTGTCCGTGATCTGATTGACAATACTGTGGGTAATTTTAAAGTTGTTTAGATGACTTATTCTTTTACTTTTTTCAGGTTGCACCATTACTCAGACTTCTAACGAGGTCATTTGTGGTAAGAAAATCCTTTTTTATACATTTTGCAGATTTTAAGGGCATGCCCACTGCTGTCAGTTGGCAGAAGCGGCACGTTAGCTGAGCTTTGTTCTTCTTCCCCTGGGTGGTGGCATCTTCCTAGAGGGGTGAGATGGACATAGACCAGAATTGTCTAGCTGGACTTGATCTTTCCTTGGGAATTTCTTACCACAGACCACAACAATTTGGCTCTGTTCTTCTGAGGTCAGATTTCTAATACTGCATTTAGTAATTGTCATCAAAACTGTAATTGCTGAGCATGTTTAATCGACAAAAGAGAAGAGACCTAACAGCACAGAGAGATCACTGTCTTCAGATATGGCTGTAGCTTGTATGTGTGTAAGCCCTCTTGTATTGTGTTTCTTGAGAGACTATAGGCCGCTTGCCCTGTTTCACAGCTGGCCAGTAGTTCTACTGCCCAGTGTTTAGAACATAGAATGTGCTTCCTTTCTCATGGCTTCAACTTGGACCTGAGACGTGGTGGTTTTGAGGCTAAGCATTGCAGTTGGCCTCTTTATCACCTCTGACTATCTGGTCTTCTCTGAGATTCATGAATGTTGAGGAAAAACTCTGAGAATGAAGATTTAATTAGGAAAAAGGATTTGTAAGGGTGCAGACAGATTTCAAGCAAAGCTTTAGCCAGTAGAGGAAAGCAAGCCAGCTATTCTGCCTCAAAATTACATTGCCAGAACATGTTTGTGGATGACCGGTAGCCTAAATCAGGTATGTAATTGCTTCTGTTCTTTCCTCAGATCCAGTTGAGTCATAAGAGAAGCCTGTCCCAATATGTCTTCCCAGAAACTTTCCTGAATGTGTGATATTATATGGATAATGATTTATGGAGCCAGTTGTGCTGAAGTTAACAGCAATGTCTTAATAAACACATGGCAGCTTTTGCTTGAAAATAAGTGTATGTGGTTCTTTCCCCCCACCTACACACACAAGCACACACACACCAAAAACTTGGATGTATTTCTTTTCTTTTTTTTTTGAGTTGGCATTTCACTCCATTGCCCAGGCTGGAGTGCAGTGGCACACTCACGCCCACCCTAGCACCAACCCACTGGGCTCCTGTGATCCTTTCACCTCAGCCTTTCAAGTAGCTGGAACTACAGACATACGCTACCATGCCCAACTAATTTTTGATTTATTGTAGAGACAAGGTCTCACGAAGTTGCCCAGGCTGATCTTGAACCCACGGGCTTAGGCTATCTACTTGCCTGGGCCTCCTAAAGTGCTGGGATTACAGACTGAACCACTGAGCCTGGCCAATGCATTTCTTTTAAGAATAAACATGAGAAATTGGAAATACCTGTCTGTAGCCAAAAATGACATAGGCAGACTTTCTCACACTTCACAGTTAACCCTGGTTAATTTTTCCCCTTTCTGAGTATATAGGTCTCTCCAAGCTTCAGGGCATCGGCCAGCAGATACATTGATGGCTTTGGAGGGCAGCCAGCCTGATGTGGAAATAGTGTAGTTTCATGGCATGAGCTGTGAACTTCCAAGTTTCCTGGAAAGGTGATGATGGAAATGAAAAGACTTTTCTGAACTTACTACTTAAAAATCATTGTCCTTATTACTTAGGGCAGGGGCATGAAAACCTGGTAATCTTGTTACTGCTAATTACTAGACACCACCCTTCCTGGAAGCTTGCATTGTAACTTAAATGTTTAATTTGAGTTTCAAGGCTGACAATTAGTTTCATAATTCTAAAAAAAGTATAACCTTGCTTTAGGTTATTCCCTACATTTCTGACACTATATCATGTATTTCAGAAATATTAGAGGGGAATGGATTGAGAAGTGTCATGTAGGTCTAAATACTTTCAACCTGTTAAAACATGGAAGAGGGAAGACAGGGTGGAGGAGGGAGCTTTTCCAGGGACAAAAAGTAGTGCTGGCCAGCAAAGTAATAGGTCCCACTTCAGTTTATTCAGACAAACAGGTCGGTGTCTTCAAGGCCCTCCCAGATCTACTGGAGATGACCTACAGCAGTGCTTTGGGTGTGGGTTGTGTTAACTTATACCAGCATCTTTCTAAAAGAACACTTTCTATTAAGAAGGACTATAGGACTATTGTTATCTAGTCCCCGCTCCCTCCTTTTTCAGTAGCATCTTCCATACCAAGTAATGCTAAAACTTCCAATTCCTGAAACCGGTTGGCTTGTGAGTGCTGTTTCTCTCTTGCATTGCTAGAGGGCAGCATTGGATCACATGAATAATCAAAGGCAAACCTTTCTGGAGCTTTTTGCCATCACCTTGTCTTTAGCTTCAGCTAAATCATTGTTTCAGAAATGGTCACCATGCCTTACATGTGCTTATTTTGCACATGGCTTTCAGTTCCCAGGCGTGTGAAGATTTACAGGGAACTTCTCATTCTAGAGAAAATAATGGGAGCAGAGTTTAAATTTTCACTGTTCTTTGTTACTCTTTATATCATTTTTATACTCCACTAGGAGCAGAATAAAGAATCCCTAATTCTAATCTCCAAGGTAGACAAATATGCTGTTTGTTCTACAGACAGGGATACTACCAATCCTGTATCCTGTATTTTAATGTTTTGTGCCCCCTTCAGTGGGAGTTAGGGATTTGAGTAAGGCTCTCATGGCTTCCCCTTGCAGCCATCAGCCAGCTAATTCTTCAAGGAGGTGACAGCCACAACCATGAAGCCCTCTACACAGTTATCTATTTGCAACTGCTGAGATAGCATGAACGTGGTTTGTGACCCCGTTTTGGAGGAACCATCTTGAGCCGCGAGGTGATTTTGCCATCCCGAGCCACACAGGATGTACTCAGGTCTATGTTGAGTGACGAATTGACAAGTTGAAATCCTTTGATGTATTCCATTCATCTCCCTATCCCCACTAATATTCAGTGAACTGAAGAATTATTCGTCTTTTAAAGAAATTACCACTGAACAAATCACAGGTGAAAAGTCACTTGCCTTATCGGATGTTAAGCAGATGAATGTTAAAGTGTGTGTGTTTCTAGTGAGCTACCCTGTCTAAGCTGCACAAACCAAGTGACCCGCTGCATGGTTGGTGACCAGCATGTCTGAAGTCAAGTGCTTGCTCACACCTTCAGAGAGTTCTTCAGCTACCGGGGATTGTACTTAAATGCATCTGAAAATGCATCACACAAGAAACAAAAGTAGCTTTATTCTTTTACTATTTATTTTTTGAGTGTTTGGCATCTTTTGCTTATTGTCTTAGAGGTATAGATGATACATATATTTTACAAAAGTTTACCTAGCAGCCTCTCAGTGAATGTTGTTTCTCAGTAGTTGGAATTAAATTTGTACTTTTGAACTACTGTTTGATAAGAAATTTCTTTTTTTTTTGAGTAGGAGTCTCACTCTGTTGCCCAGGCTGGAGGGCAGTGGCACGCTCCTGGCCACTGCAGCCTTGACCTGCTGGGCTCAGGCGATCTTTCTGCCTCAGCCTTCCAAGTAGCTGGAACTACAGGCACATGCCACCACGCCCGGCTAATTTTTTCATTTATTGTAGAGATGGGGTTTCACCAAGTTGCCTAGGCTGGTCTCAAACCCGTGGGCTCAGGCAATCCTCTCACCTCAGCCTCTCAAAGTACTGAGATTATAGGTGTGAGCCACCACGCCTAGCCTGATAAGACATTTCTGGGTGGTGGATAGCACCTTACATGCTAGAGGAGTTTTTCTCTTTGGCTTGTTTTCCCCTTAATCAGAGCCAATTTAGGTGAATTTTTGACCAGCTGCCTGCCTATTCACTGCCTCTTCATTGCCTCGTGGACAGTCTGATGGCATCTTGGGCTGAGTATTCTTTTATTTTAAACTGGGGGAAATAGAGACTGGGCAAGAGGTGTGGGAAGCAGGAAGGATAGCAGTTCTAACCCCTAGGGCTGTACTTGGGCTGACATCAGCATTGGACTTTCATGCCATTCTCATTGTTTCTCTGTAAGGAAAATATACTGTTATTGCATAGGGAAGTGAATTGAGGTTTTAAGAGGTTGAATATCTTGGTCCCAAAGCCATCATCTTTACACAGATCAGTGGTCTTACAAGCAAGATGTGCATACTCTAAATATGAGATACAGCTCTTTAGATTGGGGTAAGGAAATACTAGACCGTCTATGCTGTGCAAAAAGTACTTTTGTTTCCTAATGTATTCATACTGTAGAGTAAACCAGGTTAACTAATGCTTGCTTACGTTGGGGGTGAATTCAGCGTTCCTTTCTTACTAAAGGACCACTGGACTAGATGCTCAACTACCATGCTGAACTTGACCTATTTCCACACCCTGCCCTCCTCTGTCCTGGCCCTCTTTCTGTGTTCCCTATCATGTTAACAGCCCTCTGTTGACCGTCACATATGCCAGACACCTAAGACTGGCTTTAAATCGAGATTTTTCTCTACCCCTATTCTTCATCACACAGACTAGTTACCAAGCAATTTTTTTCTCTCAAAATATTTTCTATCCTTCCACCACTTTCCCAGCTCTCATCAGCTCTCACTTGTCAAACAGTCCCCTGACTGGGCTCATTACTTCCTGCTTCCTGCTTTTCAACCGGCTCTCTGCATTGCAGACAGATTTTTAAACAATTCTTTATTATGGAAAACTTCAAATACATAAAAGATGAGAGACTAGTATAATAATGTGCATCCCCTAGCTTTAGCAATTATCAGCTCATGAAAATCTTTATATCCTCATCCACAAACTGGTTATTTTGAAGCAAAGGCAGGATGTATCATTTTAACTGTAAATATTGAGTATATAGAGAGATGTGGGGCTTTTTTGTTTGTTTTGTTTTGTTTATTGAGTTGGGGTCTCACTCTGTTGCCCAGGCTGGAGTGCAGTAGCACGATCTTGGCTCACTACAACCTCAAACTCCTGGCCTCAAGCGATCCTACTGCCTCAGCCTCCTGAGTAGCTGGTACTACTGGTGATCGCCACCATGCCTGGCTACTTTTTTTTTTTTTTTGTAGAGACGAGGTCTCACTATGTTGTCCAGGCTGGTCTCGAACTCCTAGGCTCAAGTGATCCTCCTGCCTTGGCCTCCCAAAGTGCTGGGATTACAGGCATGAGCCACCGTGACTGGCCTCAGATATGATTTTAAAACACGAATTTCAACATGTTACTTATGCGCAAAATTCTTCAACGGCTCATCTCCCCCTAACTCTCTTTAATTTCCTGTCTATGGAAAGGGCATAAAAACAGTCCTGCCTTGTAGAATTAGTTAGGGTAGCACCTGACCCAGAAAAAGCTCTCAGTGGATGTTAGCCACCATCATCATCATGATGATGGCCATGGTCAGCTACAAGAGGGTGTCCAAGCTTCTTAGCTTGGTAGAAAGGCTTGTAATTTTGGCCGCTTCCCTTCTCCAGCTTTTTCACTCACCCTATGCTCCACAAATCTTGAGCTACTTGTAGTTTCCCTGCATTAGCCAACCTGTTTTTCTCCTCTTGCCTGTTCTTGCTCATGCTTCCTCCTTACCTTTTTCCTTTCCTTTTATTTTTATTTTTTAAAGAAAAGACTTGGGAGTCTATGTTGCCCAGGCTGGTCTCAAACTCCTGGCCTCAAGCAGTCCTCCTGTCTCCACATCCCAAAGTGCTGGGATTACAGGTGTGAGCCATTGCACCTGGCCCCTTTGCTTCCTTTCAAACACTGCTCATCTAGCAAGACCCAGTTGGAATTCCTTGTGTGTATTTTTTGGTCCTAAGTGGTAAACTGGCTGGACTTAACACCTGTACTTATACCCTTTGTTGTATTTGTTTGTTTGCCACTAGATGTTGCTCATAATCTAGTCAGTGGGAAATGATTCCTATTATTTTAGTTTGCCCAAGCTGCAATTTTGATTCCTTTCACTGACAAAAGGACAATAAAAGTTATGTGATTCACATGGTCTGTAAGAGAAGTTTATATGAGTTCT